TTAAAGCGAATTGACGAATTTGGACTTCGGATTAATAAGGACAAGTCGCAGATAGCGAGAAGTAGCGTCACATTGTTGGGACATAAAGTGGGAAATGGAGAAATAAAACCATTGCCGGAGAAAATTCTTACCATAAAAAATATTGCAGTACCTAATTCGAAAAGGAAGTTGAGACAGTTCCTGGGAAGAGCGGCGTTCTACAGTCGGTTTATCAAGAATTTCAACGAAATAGCAGCACCCTTATATAAGTTATTAAGCAGCACCAAGTTTACGTGGACTGAGACTGCCGAACAAACGTTCAACCGAATCAAAAACATGCTAGACGATCGCCAGATGACGCTCAGACTGCCTGAACCGGGAAGACTGTTTACAGTGGCCACAGACGCGAGTGATCATGGTATAGGTGCTGTGTTGAGTCAGGCTGATAGAGTGGTGGAATACGCGAGTCGCGTCCTCACACCTGCTGAACAGAAGTATTCAACCATCGAAAAGGAGTGTTTAGCGATCGTGTGGGCAGTGGAAAAATGGAGACCATACCTTTTAGGTAGACGATTTCACATTGAGACCGACCATAAACCCCTGCAGTGGTTGAAAACAGCAAGAGACCCCCGAGGGAAGTTGGCGCGATGGATGATACGCCTGCAAGAATACGATTTCAGTATCGGCCATGTTCCAGGAAAAGAAAACGTAATGGCAGATTACTTGTCAAGACCAGACATGGAAGCCGACCTGCCATTAACAGCATACGCGGTGAATAGTTTAGAGGGAGACCCATTAGAACTCGTCCGGCAGCAGAAAGCTGACCCTAACCTTCGAGAGGTAATCAGAGTGATAAAAGAGGGAGCAGACGTAGATAAACGAACAATGGACAAGGAGGTAATAACGCTGCTTCGGCAAAAGGACCGACTGAGAGTGAACTCATATGGAGTGCTGACCTGGCAGGACGATGATGAAAATTGGGTGGCGGTGATCCCGAAAGACTGGCGGCGCAAAGTGATACACGAGTGTCACCAGGTAGCACATACAGGCATCGCAAGAACGACGGACTTACTACGACAAAGTGCATACTGGCCGAGCATGAGAGAAGATGTGGCTGAATACGTGTTAACCTGCCAGCAGTGTCAGCTAATGAAAAGCGATCGATACACACAACCGCCATTACAGTCAATCCCAGTAACCGCAGTCGGTGATCTATGGTCGGTGGATGTGATGGGACCGTTTCCACAGACGGCGAGCGGTAACCAGTACCTGTTAGTGATGACGGAACATGCTACACGTTGGGTAGATGCCGTACCCATTGCAGACCAGCGGGCAAGGACAGTGACCGAGGTGGTAATCCGGCATATTGTAGCGTGTCACGGAATACCGAAGATGATATTAACTGACCAGGGTCCCTGTTTTGAAAGTGACGAGTTTAAAGCCCGTTTAAAGCAGTTTGGCATCAAGAGAATACGAACTACACCGTATCATCCTCAGACAAACGGGCTTACAGAGAGAAACAATCGGACGTTAAAGGAATGGTTAGCATCAAAAGGAGGAAATTGGGAGAAAGAGTTACCATTGATTTTGCTGGCACATCGTTCCTCCACACAAGGAACAACCAAGAAGTCACCTTTCTTGCTCATGTATGGCAGACAACCACGACTTCCAATGCATAATAAGACCTGGCCACAACAACAGAAGTGGACGACAACAAGGTTAAGAAAAGAGAGGAGAGAGGCAATAAGGAACGTGAAAAAGAAACAAATATCAGACACAAAGAAGGCAGAACAACAGAGGAGAACGTGGAAACCATTTGCAGTGGGGGACCTAGTAAAGTGTAGAGAACGAAAAAGTAACATAGCAGGGGGAGCAGGGTCGGGGAAGCTGGCCCCAAAATGGGAAGGACCGTATGTTATAACGGAGAGACGCGGCTCGGTCTACACTATTCGGAGAGAAGACAAGCAGAAGCGCGTAAATGCTAGTCAACTACAGAGATGGTTTCAAGATCATCATGGGTGTGAATCACGAAAAGCACCAAAGAACACAGCGGTACGGAGATCAGAAAGACTACGACAGCAACTTGTTAAAAGGGGGGACGAGTGTGGTGCGTGCTACTTATATTGATATAAGTAGTATATAACGTGAGTCAAAAGAACGTAATGTCTGGCAGCAGAAGATGGAGAAGATCAAGAAAAGAAGAGCGAGAAAACAATGGAATTTGTAAGAAATCGCATGAACAATGAAATGCGAGACATTAGATATGATAGAATGATATTTTGCAAATTAACGATTTACTATATAGTTTTTCTATTTTACCAAGTAATTCTGTAATTTGTCCTAAATACAATTTGGTTGTCCTCAACCGTGTTCTTCTTCACTACAATATTATAAAACATGTTGAAACAATCATCATTGAAATGATTCATGTGATTAAAGGTCATATAGTAAGTGTAAAAAGAAATAAGAATATCATCCGTTCAATGAATGCAAAAAGCAAGAATTTCATATTCTTGTTTTATATTAAAGGTACCTGAAACCAGAACTATGCGTACGTAAGAAGTACGTCTGATCGTCAACTAGGCCTTCATTGTTATTCATAACTACTGATTTTATCACCGTATTCATTTGCACACCTATACAACTATTAATTACTGGTACAATCACATTGTACCAGTTAAAAATTATCTTAAAAAAGTCAAAAATGAACAATAATTTAGCGAACAATCCTTTTCAATAACTTCATCATCACACTATGCAGTTATAAGTCCATAATTTTAATATTTTATAAAGGCCAAAAATAAGGCATGGCATTAATTAATTTGACAATGTAATGTGTTAACAATGGTTAACGTTTACATCTGTAACGATATATATATATATATATATATATATATATATATATATATATATACTTGCAAATTGTAATATTTGCAAATTAGGAAGGTCATTCAATAAAGGTCTGGATGATTTGCAGTAAAGTGTTCAGTCACGATAAGTGGAAGAGCATTATCGGAAATTTGAAAATGCAAAAAATTGTGTGTCAATAAAATTCATAGTACGAGAATTGAATCTTGTCAATTGACATAATAATAATAATAATAATAATAATAATAATAATAATCAGGACAATAAATAATAATAACATTTTAAATGTTCATTAAGGCACTTGACTTTATTCACATTTATACGTTTAATGTCGATAGATATTTGTTGAGTCAGACAACGTAGGCTTGTTCATTTACACTTCATGAAACTGATATTTCAAATGCTTGTCAAAAATGGTTACATTCATAATGTCTAGATAATTCAGGTTTCATATTACGGTTAACAATATTCACACATGACTGATTAAACACACTAGTTTTTATTACGACCAAAAAATTAATTTTAAAAAACAGAACTACAAATAATTTACAAGTGAAAACAATAAACCGTCTCAATGGACTTTTAAAATCAACCACATTGAAATCTAACGTTTTCTAATTCTCATTAAGAATGACCATTTACAAAATAAACGTTCACTAAATATTAAGTGCCTTTTTCGGAAAATTTATTGCTACTTTCATGTACTGTTAAAGTCGGTTCATTAAATCATGGTCTTCGGTTGCTTCACCTGAATTATACATATTGCAACCAGTAATTTATAATGATGAATTATTGATATTGATTTGAGAATACATATATTTCGTACATGAAGTGAATGAAGCAGAGCCAAGCAAAATGACGCACAGGGAGGATGGCTGGGAAGCCAACTCCATTTTAGTCAAGCGTTGCTCAATATTTATAGTCAGATAAAATTAAGCTACAGACATGTGATTAATAGGATAAGAAGGTCACACACATATACGCTCATATAAAATCAGTCTAGATTAATAAGCGAATAAATAACAAGGTCAAAGTATGGCTCGAGTAGAATGAATAAAATGTGATGTCCGAAAGCTAGAATAAGGTATATGGGCTTGGCATAATAACTGACACTACAATATGTTGATTTGTTTCTCCGATTAACAGACCATGTGCTACTAAAAGACTTATGTAATAATTTGTTTATTAATTGCGTATTTAGCATTAGACAACCGACCGAATTCAGTAATCACTATTATCAAATATTCAAACCCATTTTCAGTTCCTTTTTCACTAAACTTTCTTTTAGTGTGATACATATCAGTATTCGTGGCAAGATAACTAACGACTTCAATTAAAGGTTGACATTAAATCACTTGATCGGAAAACAAAAATTTATCCCAATACACATTCACTAACAGTAGGATTGCACTTAAGTTGGTGTTTTTTTCCTAAAATGTCTAAATTTCTTACAAGACTAAGATACACAAAAAGAATTATTCATTATCGTTAAATTTCAAATGTAATAATCTAAATTCTAACATCCAATCACAGCACTTGATGCTATTTCGATTTCAACTAATCAGATTACAAAGATGAACAGTTTACGACCAATCACAAAATGTTTGTTCATTATCACTTGAGCACACACTTGCAAAACAAGTACACCAATCACCGATCGCTAAATTTTTCTTTCACGCCATACAATTTTTTAAGAAATGGGTGGTAGGGAATCTTGATTGCAGTGGTCAACCTGAATAACCTTTAATGTAAATGAAACATTGATTGGTAATTGAATAAACTGATTGAGCAGCGATTGATAACCAATGGTCATGTTTGTCTGGTACTCAATAGCAATCGAATTCTATTGAGTAAGATTAAATGTAGCCACGTTGGTCACTACTCTGTGATCAATCATCGGTAAATATGTTAGTCTTACAGGAAATCAGTCACTGTCTGAAGAATTCGATCAGTACTGAGTACCAGACAAACATGGCCATTGGTTATCAATCGCTGCTCAATCAGTTTATTCAATTAACCAATCAATGTTATATTTAAATTAATGGTTATTCATGTGTTTTTCCCATCTGGTTGTATTATACTATAACTATTGTTTATTTTAACGAAGGATATTTCAAAATATTTTCCGTCTATGACTTATTTTTTATTTATAGGGTTCTGGATGGATGTTGGACAACCGAATGATTTTCTCAAAGGTACAAGTTTGTATCTAAATTACTTGAAACAATCAGATCATTCGAAAGAACTAGCAACTGGATCTAATATTCATGGGAATGTTTTAATCGTAAGTTATATGCTTTTTATTATGTTCTTAGGATGAATTTTTACTGTGGCATGAAAGGATTGTGCAGTGTTTCTAGCCAAATGTGGTTTACATGATGAACTAACTCCATTTAGAAAGTCATCGAAAAATATAGAGCACTAGACATGTGTTTCGCATTTAGTATAGAACTCAGTGTGCAACCATGATCATTCTACAGACTAAAGCGTCGACCTCCCGGCCTATAACGGTCCACGTTTCTGAATTTCTATTTCTTTACCTTTATTGACTGAAGATACAGTGGCAGCTTAGTAGTTCGACCGGAATCATTCAAAAAAGTTTTCTAATAACTGACATTTAGAATCTCTAAATAACTCCAGAGTTCAAATCCAATTCCTTTCACTTTAAATGCCAACGCGTTATTCACTTAGCTACTGGGTTCATATAGCCACTCACTCGTGAAATGGTTTTGAATTTGAATTTAATTTGTAACGATTCGAATTATTCCGTTGTTAATGTCCTGGCCGAACTTTGATCAGCCTTAGTTAAACCAAGACTGATGCCCGTTTCACAAATGAGTTGCTATTTTGGACTCAGTAGCTAAGTGATTAACATGTTGGCGTTTGAAGTGAAAGTAACTGGATGTGAATCCTGAAATGAACACTAACTCTAGAATGAGGGCATATTCAGCTGACAAGTCCAATATAGGATGAAACATACATCCTGAATTATACTGTTAGTTAAATTCTATCTATTTTGTATTAGGCCAATTATTTAACCATTTATTTCCTTATAAGTAGCATTCGAAAATTAGTCTTTCGTTTTTAAAAAATGAATCGAGATCAAAATTCGTGTTTCTTCTCTTAGCTCCTTATAGCGTAGAGTGTAGCAAACTATAATGATACATACTTGTACTAGGCCTTACGTTGTTGATAATGTTCTGTGGTTTTTCCTGCAGCCTTAATTTTTTCACGCTCATTATTTTTCTAGCATCCAACTGCTTCAGTTTCACCTACTTGTGTTCTTGGACCCAGTGTTGTTATTGGGCCAGAATGTATAGTTGAAGATGGAGTAAGAATTCGTAATTCCACCTTACTTCAAGGGAGTATTATTCGTTCTCATTCTTGGCTAGAAACTTGTATTATTGGTTGGCGATGTACTGTTGGGCAGTGGGTAAGTCTGTTGATTTTACTTTGTATTCCTTTGAGAATGTCATCACTGATGGCATATATACACATTTATTCTAAGTTGTAATAATATTGCATGGTTTTAAGCGTGTAATAAATTGTTTACGAGTATATCTTTGATAGATTTCACATATATATAACCAAATTAAAGCCTTAGAAATATGTTATTTTTCGTTTGTCTTTGTCTGTTAACCAAGAGACCACTGGATATTTGTAATTAAGGTTTATAGGAAAGTTTAAAACTCAGTTGTCATAACAATGTAAAAAATCATTTTTCGTTGTTAACATTACGTCCTTCTTTGTCTTAGTACTCTTTTCCCTCAAATACCGTAGTTCGGCTGAAAGTTGAGGAAGCGTGCTGTCTCTCTTTCGAAATGCTCTTATGCGGCCACGCATTTATGGTCTCTGTCAAAGTGGTCTTATGTTCTACACCCAGCCGGTTTGTTTTACAAAAATGATAGAACAAAAAACGAATGTTCAGCACTTAAACCAGATTGGAAGATACAGAGGTTTCACCTGGAAGAATTGAAAAACCTTGATTCCAAACCATCGGTATATATAATCTCCAGGATCCTAAGGGAACGAATGGCATGTTAACCTGTTTTTAGTCGTCAGCTATCACGAAAAGGGACGTCTTGATGTTGCTTCACTAGTTTGTGGATTGACCTTTAGGTGTGTGAAACATGCATTTCAACTCGGGCTCCCATTCAGCATCACAAATTTTCGTTTGGTGTATACTATATTCTTGGTGCTCAGTTGTGCCAGATTTCATGTGAATTAAATAAATAAATAAATGATGACTGACGATTGCGCTTCATTTAAATTGAGACAAATACAAACTAGGATGATTTGAAAGCAAAATATATTCTAGCCATCCGTACAACAATGTTTTGTACAATAAATAATGAAAATACAAGATATCAAGTAGAATTTCCGTGCGAAATGCCTAGTGTTTTCTAGATCCATCTACTACTGCTGATTGAATGCGAATAGACTCATCATCATATTCAGATTTGGACCTTTATTAAACATCCTATCATTAGGATTCTGTCATGCTAATAACTAGCAATTAATGCGAAACTTTATACTTAAAACAGTTAACCACCCGTTTGTTCCATCGTTAATGAAACTAGTTTGGAATTTGATTTTTTCAGCACCACTTTCCAGGATCAGCTTCACTTTAAAATACTCAACATATGTAGTATACTGTCTGTAATTAATATAGGACTGGAATTGTAGCATTCTTTTATCTCAGACATTCTTTGGTCAATAGAGCGGTGGTTCAATAGTTAAGGCGTCCGAATTTCAGCTGCAAAATCATACGTTCAAACCTCTTTTACATACTTAAGTCTGAGCAACCGCACAGTACTACCAGCCCTTACACCTAAAATGTGGCTTCAACCCATTGCATGAATCTGTAACGGATAAATGAGTTCATGAAATGTTATTTGATCAATATCAATTCATATTCTTACCATCAATGTATTCTGATTTATTATTACTTTTAGGTAAGAATGGAAAATGTCACCGTCTTAGGTGAAGATGTCATTGTATCTGATGAATTATTTGTAAATGGTGCACGTGTATTACCACACAAAAGCATTGCCCAATCAGTCGTTGAACCACAAATTATTATGTAACATGCCTGGTATGGAAACTCTTGTAAAGTGCTGTGATCAAAACTTTTTTTTCTCCCCATACTCCTACTATTCTTATGATCGGTACTAATCTATCGCCTTCTTTTTATTTCAACAACGTGTTTTCCACATAGGAATATTATCGTTTTTTATGTTCCACTGACTGCTGTCATAATTGTTATTTTGTTTAAATTTCTTTTTTTTTGTTCAATTAAAACATTTTACTAAAATAAATCCAACCAAGTTCTAGTTCCATGAAATATCACTTCCCGCTTATTTTGGTTATCCTTATTACTAATGTATGAAACAAAATTTATATTTGCTATCCAGTGCTTTCCTTTATGTTGTTAAGGTTGATATGATTTCGTTTGTTTTAATCAGTTGTTGAATTTATTATTGTTGAATGGTTTGCTTTTTGTATTTTTTTAAAAATTTCTATATTTAAATATATGCAATGTTTGGATTGGAATTCGTTCAGTAATATGAATTTTATCCTAAGTCAACTTGTTATCTTGATATTGGGCAAATTAAACTTTCTAGGATTTTTATACGTAATGTTTATTTTAGTTCATTCCTTTTAGATACTTGGCTTTTGCTTAATCAGGGGAGAACATTGGCTTAATTTTTTACGACAACTTAATTGAGCCTGCCACTCCGCTTTAGGCATAAGTTACTGAACAGGGATCTCTGAGCAACTCCTTCCTAGGCTCTTGTTTGCAGTTGTTACCAAGTGACATTCGTCGTCTTAATGTCTTCCCTCGACTTCCGACGCTATTTTTGGTTTACCTCTTCTTTTGCCCAGGGGACTTTATGCTGGGGCTTGTCCCGTGATGGTTTCCGCAAAGTTTGTTCCATCCACCCAGTGTTTTCTAATTTGCTCCTCAGCTGGCAGCTTATCGGTTTTTGCCCGAAGCTACTGTTTGTTCGAACCCCATATAAAGGAGGGGTATTGGAGATAGAGTTTGCAATCCCATCTCGTAAAAAAATCGCACTACAAAATTGGTAACCGGAAAAGCCAACCAAACTCTACTCGGAGTTGGACAGACCTTCGCTACAAGATAATGTCGAAGAACTGCTTTTTGCACTCACGCACTTTTTAACTGATAACATTACACGGTAGGATCACTAGATAGATCACAATACTAGACCACACAGTAGGCACAGACACAATGTTCCACCAAGGACTGAGGAGAAAATGGCCCAGACAATAGTTTATTAACACAAGTACAAGCGGCAAAACATTGAAATCCATGGTAGGTATCACAGTCAGATACAAAATGATCATTTATATTCCTATGGCTGCATGTCTGCCTCCGCTCATTGACCAACCACACATTACTGCCATTGGGTTATGGGTTGGAATCCAGCACTATTTGTATCAGTCTGGATAGTCGATTAATACGAAACAACACTAAAATTCAATGCGAAGTACATGCGCTTATATTTCATTGCTCCATTTTGTTAGAATTTGGTCAAACATATAAAATCTATGTTTTGCCTAACTCAATAAATGAAGCTTGTAGTCACCTGATGCTCAATGATTATGTAGTGTGTGCTACTGATGTCGACAGTTGTATGTATCACCAGTCGGAAGTGCAATTCCTGGTGGCAGAAGATTAAGAAGATCGAAGGACAGAGAATGATTGGCATGTAAAGGAAGAAACAATCAAGTCTGAAACAATTGATTGACATTTTGTGGATGATGTATTTACTGTACGGTTTTCAGATTTTAGTAATATATTCTGTAATATTGTATTAAAATACATTCTATTGTCCACAGTGGTATTCTCGTCCACTATCTGGTGTACATTCAGATCTATCATTAATGTGCTTGAAGTAGTAACATAGTTTATGGGTTAACACTTAGTTTTGTTCAGTTTGTTTTCGATGCCGTGGCGATGGCAAGAAATAAGTATCACCAACTTATTAAAGTTTTGTTTTCTATTGATTGAAACTTTTATACTGTTTGTTGGCTAGTGATTGTCAGCACAATTTCCAATTCTCATAAGTTATTTAGATTATTGACTGACTTGAGCAAAAAATACATTTGTGGCTCTATAGATAAAATATCCTGATTTCGAATTTCCACAGATTTCTTCTAGTTGTATTCAGTCGTTACAGTGTCTATCCAGAACATAATAATGAAACAATACCTGATGTATGTAAAGCAGGTTAAAAACTAGTTATTAGACTTATGACTGGTCATGAATGAAAATTACTCAGAACAATGAGGTTAGACTTCCTCTTATTGCATCACATGTCAATCATATAATTGTCTTGTATTTCTTATTTTTTTGTCATACATTTTCATTTGCAGTCATTTCAACGTATCGCTCTAGTATAACATGAGAACCTTTACGAATTCAAAATAAATTTACTGTGTACATGGTCGGTCCTCAGCAATGCGCATCCACGAACCTGCGCGACTTCCAGTGAAAAGTTGTGGTCAGTGGTGTTCGACCGTGCTGGTTAGGGGAGTTACCCACTAAAGACAATGGAAGATGGTAGCGTAAAATTGTGGGTTGGTTGAAGTTAGACATTAACACTGTTGGTTGCTGGCTCAGTGGTCTAGAATTTAAGCGTTCATGCGTGAGACCAAATGTCCTGGGCTCGAATCCCACGTTCGGGTTCGTGGATATGCACTGCTGAAGAGTCCTATACTTGAAAAAAACAGTCGTCCTGCGCTCCCAGGTTCTCAATGGTGGTCTAACACTGATCGGTTCGTGATCTCAACTAAAACTCAATCTCCACAACCCCATACTGATAATTATAAATTGGGTTAGTCCAATGGACATTTTGTTTGTTGGTGAAACATATTAATGTCAGGATTTCTTATGAATGTTTATATTCTAATAGCGTAAAATGTAATTCTTTTGAACAGGTCTGGTTTGACTTAGTGATACTTCATAGACAATTCGAAAAGCAGCAGTTACTCTTGACCAGATCAAGTGAAAATGTTTGGTTTTTGGATTTCAATTTATTGATGTATAAATACATTACAGTGATCATGATGCATTTGAATTATCAAAAATTTATGAGTCTTGAGGTTTAGTGTTTTTTGATGACTATAACTAAAGGAAATGGTCCTTTAGTAATGAAGTGTCTCCTATTAATCGATCGTTTTCCCTACCACAAGTACCACCTGGAAATGGTGGTTGGGCTTGCTTATTTTGATGACAGTTGAGCTATATTGGCTGGAACATTTGTTCCTTGGGGTCGTACCATCCCAGCAAAATCAGCTAGAGAAATAGAGATCAAGATATTTTCCCTGAATTATTTAATGCTAAACACTTAAAATTAGTAGACTTCAAGTTGGTTACAGCATAATCGCTTTTACAATGTGAGTTTTCACGAAAACAATGACCAACGTCTTTTTGGTTTGAAAGTATTTGAACTAATTATTTTTGTCTTTTCACTTTTGTCTCTTTGAATAAATGTCAGTTATTGTGAATTTTCAGTAAATTTATGAACCCGACTTTAACATAGGTTGACTTATTATCCACAAACAGTTTAAGAACCCGAGTATTTATTAATAGTTTTGATGATCCAAATCAGACTCAATTTTTAAATTTCTTTTAAAAATTTCTAATGTGTGATTTTTATCAAAAGAGAAATGACTACTTCTATTCAAGAACTTACTAGGGAGGTTATTGTTAGGTTTATTTAGAATTTATTCGATAGCTGTGATAATATCTCACAATTTGAAACTGGTTTATGAGCGTTTGAACCACACAGAGAACACCAATTCCATAAGAATTACAGATATCTTTTGCTACTGAGTTCCAAATAGCATGGAACCTAGCCCCGGGTTTTCCTGTTGACTATATCTAAATATCCACCATTTCAACATTGTGCACACCTTGTCAAGTTGCTTAGATTAGCAGTCACATTCTACTTTGATCGATAGTATTTGAATAGTATTAAGGGACCAGGGAAATCTAACATTGGTCACTACTCAGTAAAAAGTCAGTTGTAAGTTATTTCCTCATGTAATTTAGACCTATTTCTGAATATAAAGGTATGTTTCTGTGAGTGATTTCTTCAAATGAATTGACTTTGTCTAGATAGCTTAGTAAGAAACATTCATTCTGACAATATTTGAGATCAAAAGTAGAGAGTATGTGCTCAAAAAAAAACAAGTAGAAGGAACTCTTCAAAATAGATGTTCATAGAAACGAACTAGGTCACAGAAACAGCAAAACCACAAACTAACAATAATTTTTAACACTATTGCAGTTCTATTGGTCAACTTTTGTAAAGCAAGAACGACTAAGATGGTGAGATTATATGGATTCACCCCATTCAGTGTGCTTCAAACTTCCACACATTTTTTATCTATAATATTTTTTATAGTTGAATTGACGGGTCGATTATGGCTAGGCCACCTTGGAAAACCTGGAAGCGCCAGGTTGCCGTTTCGCCCCAGAAAGGAACTCTTCAGTAGTGTGCATCCGAAATCTTGCTCGTGGGATTCGAACCCAGGACCTTTGGTCTCGAGCGAACGCTTGACCTCTAGACCACTGAACTGGCATCCAACGGTGTTAATGTTTTACTTCAACCAACCAACGGAACCGCACCACTGTTGTGTTCTCTTAGGTCGATTATTTAACTGTAGATATTTTGCCATTCTGAAATCTTCAGGGCCGCTTCAAACAGTATTTAGCTTTTCATTTACTTACATATGCTATGTTAGTTTGTCCGAAGGGCATTATTTGTGATTAGTGGTCTTTCAAATTCTGTTGGCAATTTGCTCTATCGATTCACGCAAAGAGCTCAGTCAGCCACAAGACCAGATGTTAACAGAAAAAGGTAACCATGGATACAAGAAAGAATAAAGACATTGAAATCTACGAAAACTAACTGCCTCAACCAAAGTCCTTTAGAGTAAACTGATATAACACTTGTGAATCAACTGAAAAACTGGCTTCTGTTTGAAGTAGCACTGAAGATGTCTAAATTGACAGCAAAAATTCCACAAATAAACTAAATGGCTCGGAGA